TCCACAATCCGTGCGCTTTTTAAGGTCAAATCCGTCGATCCGAAAACCTATTCACCCCCCTCACTCTACAATCAAATGACTGTGAACTACAAAACTGTAGTAAGGCCTACAGTACTACAGTTGTTCACGCAAAAAAATTCCGGCAAATTAATCAGCTATCAAATGCGATCGTTGATGCAAAATAATTGTGCAGTGTTAATCACAATGCATCAATCTCTCAAAGGGTGTCAGCATTTTCTTTTAGTTCTATTGGTTATCTTTTCACAGATCTGTCAAGTTCCATTATCGAAAAAATTCGCGTAACGTGTTACGTTAGAGACCACTGCGACAAAAGTATTTGGAATAAAAGAATTCGCCGACACGTTTTTGTTCCGTATCTATCAGTGAATGTTCGGGCCAAATTTCACGGAAAACCGTCGATCCTACATACCCTATTAATTCATTTAAAGAGGAGGGATTCTCTCGAAAAACGAGTACGATGTTTTTAAAAAAAACATGACACGCCTTCTCAGAGGGATATTTCAACTCAGAAAGCCGCCAGCCAATGAAATAACAGAACCCCTAGCGTTCACAGTATGCAAACTGGAGCTTCGCGCGGAAGCGATAATATTACAGTCACGTTTAGGCGCGCACGTTTTAGGCCGGTGGTCAAAAAGAATGACATGGCCGCCATGTTGCGCGTTTTTTTGTTTTCTGTTTTGTTTTGTTTTGTTTTGTTTTGTTTTTCTGTCGTTTGGGTGCACGAGCCCGCGATCCCTGCCCCTGGCAATGCATGTTCACCATGGGAAAAGAGTTGCATGGGTTTATCTCTATGCATGCATGTGGTTCTCTTCCTGCAGTTATGGTGCTCCGCTTGACAGCCCGTCGGGCCGCCGGAGCTCCGCTATGACAATGTTCTTATTACCGAGATAAATAAATTACGTTATGCCGCCAGCGTGAACTGGGCGTAACAAGAAAATTAACTCTGTGAGTTTTAATTGTATTTTTTATTTGTAATTTCTATTCCATAGAATTCTAAAGTTGTCTTGAAACTAAGCTATCAATGGTTAGATGATAACGAACAGTGTGATTCAATATTTATTTCATTCTGACTTATAGTCCAAAGTGGCTAACATTACATATATACTAATGACTGTACCAAAACAAAATCTTGACACATTTGCAAACAATTATGACTCTACGAAGCTACGTGGAATTGTACAAGAACTGGACTGATTTATGATATCTCATATTAAATTGCCTCCGAGTCAGTGTACTAAAAGGACCCATCTTGTCATTATTATTTAGTCTTATAAGCAGTTTCAAAACTATTTACACTATTGTCGCATTATTGAACATACCTTGCTTGCCCTTCTGTACAAAAAATACAGCCATAGAAATGTAACACTATTAATATGTAACTTTAATTGCCTCATTTGTTTTCAACAATTTGGTGTTCAGCTTTTTCATTAAACAGAAAACATAATTATCATTCCATAGCTTGAACATTGATTTATAACCTAACTGCACTGTACAAAACATTGTGAACATTGTTCTACTTGATTCATATTCTAAAAAACCTTGGTTTTATAAACGGATTGTGAAACCACTGCATAACCGCTTGTGAGTGACTGATTATTAATAATTGTATTTAATTTGTTCATTTTTTCAAGTAGTGGAGACAGAGGTGACAGATGCCACATGTATGGTTAATTTCCTCTGATCTAGTATAGTATGAAACATGACAACCTTGAAAACAGTTACTGTAATAACTATTGTAAAAGGTGGAACTAACAAAAATAGCTTTTGAAAGATTTTCTCAGCATTCAATAGCTGCAGTATTAAATATTTATGAAATACCAACCTATACACCGCCCGAAAATATGGACTAACTTTTTAACATGATTACAACCCACCAATAAACATCCAGTACAGTTATGTAATAACCGCTATTCCCTCCTGAAGGAAAACTCTGCAAGTCGACAGTTTGTATCTGATGTTGTTCTTTTCTGTAACCAATCCCTCCCTTGTCTACAGTGATTCATTCTAGCCCAAGGCTATCAATTCATCATGCCATGTAAAGTTCATGCACAAAAACCCACCTGCAAGAACCTGGAGGTTTCCAAGTTAGGTTTAATAGGATCTTGTAAAAATGGTATGACAGCTTCTTAAGGTTACTATATACCTTTGCAGGTGTCTCGCCACCAAGCGATGTAGTGCCTCTAAAGGTATACGGTAACCTTAGGCAAAGGGGGTCTAAATGGAGAATCTTAACCTAACCGGTTCTAAAAAAATAAAAAAGTCCAGGTTCTTATATGCATGTTTTTTACAGTAACTCAAAAATCTGAAGACAAGAGAGGGATTGCCAGACTCATTACATGGTATAGTTTAAGACTTGCTGCTATGTGTATAAAAGAACTCTAAGAAAATACTGATTAGCAAGCTAGCACTGTTCACATTAGGGGAAGCTTGACCCCTCGTTGTGTGAGTCCTTCGAATCTTTTGAATGTGTAGTTAAGGAAAACCCAATCTTTACTTCCAGCTGCATCAGTTTTGGTGTCTTTAAACCAATCTGAAAGGAAAGGAACAATTAAATGGTATTTTAATTAGATCCTATAATAAATTCAGTTACTGTTAGTTACTTGGCCAATATTTCTCCAGTTGAGGCCTACTAACTAGGTATATTGAGTAACTCGCTGCACACACTGCAAGGCCTATAGTGTTGGCCTATGACCATTGTAGGTTCACAGTACATGCAATT